AGGAGGGGGTGGTATAGATGTGGCTATTTGCAGCTTAACAAGGGACAGAAACCAGATTAGCTCATTAACATAACGCTGATGGTCAGGGCAGTGGTTGATGACCTCATTAACATAACGCTGGTTTTGGAAGCGGTGGCATTGCCTCTGGTAACAGCCCATCCCTCATTCATGATTGGTCATCCGCAAGTTGCTGGATCTGGCTGCAAAAGAAAAGGGGAAAAGTTTACGCCCGCATCAAGGCAATTTACGTCGATTAGCAGAGAAGAGGACGGGCAGATTTGACGCCTGCAGGAAGATGGAGATACGCGATACGCTATCTTCCTCTCCGGGGAATCGAACTGATATCTTCTGGGTACGAGGCAAAGCCTAACCTTTATATCACACAGCTTGACAGAGCTGAAAAAAGTCGGGAATGGTTCTGGTTTGATTATATTCATTTTTCAACGAAATTATACATATTATTTCTTTTTCGTGAGTTATGGTTTAACATCTCACTACCCTAGAATTGCAACGTTCTATTTGCTCAGTATGGTACCTAGTTTGGCGAAATTTCACGTTAAAAATTCTGAGTTTCACAAAATGTCAAGCTTTTGCGAATGTCATTCTTTGAATTTCTTGATAACAAGTCTGAATAATCTTACAATTCTGATAGAGAAATCTAACCTCATGGTCTTTGTAGCTCAAAACGGGTAAAACTGTCAGATACAACTTTATAATAAGGTAGAAATCTGTCATCGACAGGGTAGAGACTAGTAGGCGGAGAGTCTTAATGAGTCCCAAACCTCCAGAAGTAACTCAAATTCAAAAACACTTGGTTGGGAATTGAAATCAGATCCATATGCACAGCGAAGCTTTTTTAAGATCACGAGAATTTCTTTAAGTATTTTCTTTTTCGTTCGCCTTTAGCTTTGTTTCAAGTAGACAGTTAAGGAATTCATGGAGATCAGCGTGTTCTTTTTTTTAGCTTACTAAATCGTTATCAAGTCCCTGTGGCCTGACTTATCATCACCATCATTATCGCCATGTTCATATCATCTGTTAAATTAGCTGCCAAACTAACAGCAGGGGGTGGTTGGCGGGTGCTCTGGTGTGGTTTGCTCCTTCTTTCCTATAAAAAAAAATTATATCGTCCTTTCTCCCCTCTTTAAGACTTTATTGTGTTGCAAATGCTGTAAAACTCTTACTAAAACAAAAACTAACAGCCTCATTCTCTGTGTCGTCCCTCCAGATACCCTCATCACGTGACCTTCACATCCCACTAGGACAGCCTGGACGTCTGACAGAGAGCTGCAGGGACCAGGTAGGTCTCTCTCACCTTTTGTGTAATAGTATGCTGGTTGTCTAATAGTGCTGGGCTGCAAAGTTCCTAATTATTGAAAGCTAGGAATCGTAGGAATCGACTCCGAACCCAATTACTTTCTTTGTAATTATGTGATTTCTTTCCGGTGGTTACCTGGTTGGCTTCGAACACATTTTCAAGATTTAGGGTAACCTTGATTTCGGAACTCTACGAAGCATCAACTTTTATTTTTCAAAAAGATATTCTTAATAGAAACGTTTAATGCTTAAAGTCACTGGTAACCGCGTTTGTTCAGTCTACTAATGCTTGGTGATGGCACAGTCGACGGAATGTTGTGTTGTTGTTGCTGTTGTTGTTGTTGTGTGTGTGTGCGGTAGCCTATCCGTTCGAAAAGTTTGGAGCCCCGAAGAGCTTGCTCTTCGCCAGGACCACCACCAGTCCTCTCTTGGGTGGCGGGTGAGGCAGTCAAACCTCCTGAATCCTCCCCGAAGAGATGCCACCACCTATTGTTGCTGTTGTTGTTGTTTTATTTATTGTTGTTGTTGTTGTTGTTGTTGTTGTTGTTGTTGTTGTTGTTGCTTCTGCTGCTGCTCCTGCTGTTGTTGCTTTTGCCTTAGCTGTTGGTGCGGGTTTTATCGTTGCTGTTGCCGTTTCTTATATCGTTACTGTTGCTGTTGGTTTTATTGTTGCTGTTGTCGTTTCTTATATCGTTACTGTTGTTGTTGGTTTTATCGTTGCTGTTGTCATTTCTTATATCTTTACTGTTGTTGTTGGTTTTGTCGTTGCTGTTGTCATTTCTTATATCTTTACTGTTGTTGTTGGTTTTGTCGTTGCTGTTGTCATTTCTTATATCTTTACTGTTGTTGTTGGTTTTGTCGTTGCTGTTGTCATTTCTTATATCTTTACTGTTGTTGTTGGTTTTATCGTTGCTGTTGTCATTTCTTATATCTTTACTGTTGTTGTTGGTTTTGTCGTTGCTGTTGTCATTTCTTATATCTTTACTGTTGTTGTTGGTTTTGTCGTTGCTGTTGTCATTTCTTATATCTTTACTGTTGTTGTTGGTTTTGTCGTTGCTGTTGTCATTTCTTATATCTTTACTGTTGTTGTTGGTTTTGTCGTTGCTGTTGTCATTTCTTATATCTTTACTGTTGCTGTTGGTTTTGTCGTTGCTGTTGTCATTTCTTATATCTTTACTGTTGTTGTTGGTTTTGTCGTTGCTGTTGTCATTTCTTATATCTTTACTGTTGTTGTTGGTTTTGTCGTTGCTGTTGTCATTTCTTATATCTTTACTGTTGTTGTTGGTTGTATTGCTGCTGTCGTTGTTGCCTTCATTGGTACTGGGATTTTTGTTTTGTTCTATTGCTGCCTGCTGTTGTCAGTTTTGTTGTTGCAACTGTTGGTGCTCTTATTTTCCTTTTCTTCTCCTCCCTCTTTTCATCTTCTTCTTCTTAGAACACTTACTAGAAATAGAAAAAGAAGGTATAAAGACAAATACGCATATCTGAATTCTCTTTCATCTGATACAGACGAGCAGTGATAAGTATAATCGTCACGTAGACACGTTACTTCAGCAACTGTGACTTCGACTTTGACTTCGACAGAGCAGAAAATGAACAACCGTCTTGTTGTCTCTTGTCTCACGCGGCTTGAGACACAAACTCTCCCCTCCCTGCCCCCTCCCCCCGTCCCCTCCCCCAGGCCCAAACCATCTTCCTTGTGAAGGTCCCTCCCGATGCCAGAGTGACATTTATTTGCGAGAAGTAGGGGGCCTAACTATATTTGAAACGGGCCCGTCTTGAGCGCTTTGCCATACAATCAAATCGAATCTTGTTTATTGGGTAATCTCTTTTTTTATTTTTTTCGGTCTCTTCATATTTCTGCCACACACGAACACGCCGTAATATAATTTTATGGTTCTTCAGATTTCGTCTCGGAAATATTGACGGAGTGGGTTTTTTTTATTTTTATGCGTGTTGTTTTCTTTTCTTGTGGTAACGTTGCTCTTCGTTGATTTTAAAAGTACAGATCTAGATGTAAAAAACAAAACAAAACTTGGGAACAAAATATTATATAACATATAGATAGATAGATGGATAGATAGATAACCTGAAATAGATAGATAGATAGATAGATAGATAGATAGATAGATAGATAGATAGATAGATAACCTTAAATAGATAGATAGATAGATAGATAACCTGAAATCCGTGTAAAATGGATTCTTGTGTCCTCGCTGTTATCCTAGTATAAACAACAGATAGTGCCTGTAGGATTTCCCGATAAGTCCAAAAGTCGCCGCCACCAGCAAAGAACTTCGTGCTCTCCCGGAGATCTCCGTGATTAGTCGGCGCGAAAAGGGGGAGGGATTTGACGGATTATGAGCCAATGAACAACTTCGTTGAGGCCCACGAGGAATTGGAGTGTATGTCACGACCAGTGTCTTGTTGCAGAGAGGTTGAGATGACGTCACGTAATGCCAGAAGGGACGGAGTTTCTGACTTGGTATGCAGAACATGACTGCGGGGGGTCTTCGCGGGCCTAGAAGAAGTACTGTTCTTTACTCGCCCTGACACTAGCCTGGGTTAAGGGAGCCGTATGCTGAATAGCTGGAGATGTGTAGCTTGATTGGTTTCTTGACAAGCTAGCTCTTTCTGTCTTATTGCTCGTTTTGTTCCAAGGACAAACAGACAATTGATTGAGTGTCATTTCCATTTATTTATTTTTTTCGTTTTAGAGTAACCTAGTGGTTAGGCTCTCGGACTAGCAACCATAAGGTCGTGGGTTCGAATCTCGTCAGGGGCCCGACGTTGTGTCCTCGGGAAAGGCACTTTACACGAATTGTCCTCACTTCACCCAGATGGGAATGGGTACCCGGCTATAGACAGCGAAAGATCTTGTCAGTTTGTTAGTGTTTGAGCGCTTAATCAGCTGCTTGCACTGTATGCTTCCCGGAAAGCCGAGAATGTCT